CCCTCCGAGGCAGGCCTACAACATCAGCTACCGCTCTCTTTACTATTCGCTTTACTATTCTCTTTACTATTCTCTTTACTATTCTCTTTACTATTCTCTTTACTATCCTCTCTACTTCTCTCTACCTCTCTCTGCCTCTCTCGCTCGCTCACGGACCACTCTACGCTCTCCAATCTGTACATTTCCCCAACAACTCGTATTCGTTCATGACACGTAAGCGAGAGAAACAGCGGCCTCCCGCGGGGTCACACGGACCCGGAAGGGTAGCGCGAGGGTTAACAACGGGGGATCTGGCGACATCTGCCGCGCGGCAGCGGGAAGGGGTGTCCGAAACGGGAATCGAGCCCGAGCCCGGGACCCGCCAGCCCTTCGCTCTCTCGCGCGTGCCCCCTCCCCGAAACGATATAGTTTGTGTGAAGTATGGCTTGTGTACCCCTGTGTAGCTCAACACATGACAACACTCGTATGTATTTCAGATTTTTATTCAATTCATTTGCTACAATAGCTCTACACATGACAACACACGTATTTACTTCAGACTTTTAGTCAATTCATTTGCTACAATAGCTCAACACATGACAACGCTCGTATGTATTTCAGATTTGTATTCAAGTCAGTTGCTACAATAGCACAATAAATACATGACACCGCTCCAATGTATTTCAGGATTTGTATTTTGATCGTTCGCTACAAGTGTGTTCGTAAGAGAACCATTACAGTTACAAAATTGTTAATGACAGAGATTGGTCTAAAGGTACCATTACAATGACCGTTATACATGTGCACATGCTACTCGAAGGATTTCTTTCCTCGGAGCACGCAACAGTGTAGTATCCACAGTGTGCAGACGCTAACAAGTCCAACAGCAAAGGCGCACGAAATCACTGTGCCAAACACGTTAGCAGCCCGCGTTGTCTCAGGCGGAGTCTCCTCCGTCGCTTGCACTGGATCTTCCGTTGCGTGCACTGGTTCTTCGCGAGTTTGCTCGCATTGCAGACTCGAGTGATACTGCGCCCATGCCAATAAATCTTTTTCGATCCCAAGTTTCTGTACGCGAATGTGACTCAGACCCAGCAACGGTAGCAACGTTCGAATAGCGATCTCCTCTCTTGATGCGTGGTGATACCTCAGCCTCTTGTGCGTGAGAAAGGCCTCCGTAACTTTCTCATGTCTAGTGCGCCAGGTCTCTACGTAATACTGACCCGCTGATATTGACACGTTGCATGGACCTACGTTTTCGTATCCCGCATAAACGTAACATTTTTCATCGTGACACTGATCGCACTGTGAAACGAGACATTGTTCCAGTGTAGCGTTGATCTGACACGGAACCCTGTGCGCGTCACCATTGGGACATGTGTAAGCTACGCTTAACACGTACCCATCGTGGGCCTCAGTGCTCAATGTCAGGTCTTCGAGCTCGCTAATGACATCGATCGTGTCACTGTCGTTCCTCCTGAAGTATGTCTTGACAAGCATTGCGGTATCGCACTCGGAAAGCTCACATGCCACACATACAAGGCTTTTATACTCAGAGTACGTAGAAGACGGAGTTATGTCTGTAGCATTCACGAGGACCCGCGTTCCGCTGTGACATCGAGCCTCGAAAATTTGAGTCTCACTGGATAACCCTGGCGATGCCATGTGAGACACGAAAACCACAAGTCCCATCAGGTGATACATCCTTATAGTCTTAGATGCCCTTATGGTACAGAATGAACAGAACGTAACGTATCAGTATCACCGAACAGATCCTCCCTCTTTACACACAACTAACAAATGAGCACACGTGAATCACGTGAATACTTGATATACAGGACCCGGACTGGCAGACTGTATTGTTTATAACAGCGTCTTTATTGTAACACACATTGTTTCCATTACAACCATCACGAACATTAGACACAACATAACCACAGACAGATATCGCTTATAAGGTATCGCTTATAAGGTATACGTAAAGTATACGTTCATGAGTTCTATGACCGGTCCGCGCAAAGTACATACAAAGCATACAGGTCTTCATACGTAACACCGAGTTTGTCCCCCGATTGTATTGGAGCCAGCGTGAGAGCGGTGAGCCAGCGGCGGTAGCGCATGGGATCTCTTCGGGCTCGATCTTGCCACTCGCTGTGGCGCTTACGTTCTGCATCACGTGCACTTTGATCCACTGGGTACATGATGTTGAACGCGGACACCTTGGAAACCCACTCGAGGTATCTCTTATGATACAGTTGCGAAGTAGACAATCCGTATTCACCGTCCCGACGTTCAATCGTGTCGGAGACGGGAGCGTTTGGTATGTAACACATTCCGAGACTCTGTTCCCTCCTGTAGTCGCTGGCAAACCACGGAGCCGTTTTCAGCCACTTATGATAGAAATGTTTATCGGAGGGAGCTCTGGCTATCCACTCTGACAACCGTGTTTTGTACACGTACTCTGGAGGACAAGGACGGTCCGTGTACCATGCGTCAAATACATGACGGAACACCTCCTCCACGGATTCATGTGAGACGAGTTTGTATTCATTGCGTGCGGTTCCACTCCCTGTACACCGATCGGGAGCTTTCGCGAGCCACCCTCTGTACTTGCTTTCTTCTTCGGGTGCTTTTGCCAACCAAGCTTTGTACCGTGTCTGAAACTCGTTCCCGTTCACGGTACTGCGGATCGAACCTTCCGTAGGTTCGCGTGTCACATCGGTCCGTTTGCGTGGAAGAAGTACCACTCGGTTACGAGAGAGTGATTTGACTTGCGATCTATCCGGGCTAGCGAGGGTCTCAGAATTACGGTTCGTTGTTCACGCTTATTGTGGGTATACATGGTATTACAGGTGTACGGTTTGAAGTGTATGTTCGGGCGATTGACTTAGAAGCGATATCGTGTTATATCTGAGGAGTTAATATTGGCTCATCTTGAGGTTATTTCTTTCCTTCTCGAAGATGTCAGGAACTTCTGAGCTGCTCGTTCACCGATCCGTGGTTTTTGCGAGTGCGAGGAGTCAGGGTTTTCGCTGAGGCGCTCGTTCACTGATCCGGGGTTGTGCGAGGAGTCAGGGGTTTCGCTGAGGCGCTCGTTCACTGATCCGGGGTTGTGCGAGGAGTCAGGGGTTTCGCTGAGGCGCTCGTTCACTGATCCGGGGTTGTGCGAGGAGTCAGGGGTTTCGCTGAGGCGCTCGTTCACTGATCCGGGGTTGTGCGAGGAGTCAGGGGTTTCGCTGAGGCGCTCGTTCACTGATCCGGGGTTGTGCGAGGAGTCAGGGGTTTCGCTGAGGCGCTCGTTCACTGATCCGGGGTTGTGCGAGGAGTCAGGGGTTTCGCTGAGGCGCTCGTTCACTGATCCGGGGTTGTGCGAGGAGTCAGGGTTTCGCTGAGGCGCTCGTTCACTGGTGTCCGGAGGTTTTTCAAATGTGCCTCCTGTCAGCTGGGAATACATTAACCATGTGTCATCTCATTTAACATGAAAGACTGTGATAATCATACCACTCGGGATATTACGCTCGGGTAATAGAATGCTTCCACGTAATTCACAAAATGATCGCATTGGACCATAGCCGAGCGAGATAATACATAAATGGAACATACGGTATTCACGGGTGTCTACTCCCAGAGGGACCCATTATACCCCTCAGCTAATCCATCCGCAGATGGAGCCCATTATTATTCTCGAATGGGAATGAGTTTGTAACTACATGGGCTCCCAGGTAGCATATGGGAGCGTAGCTATTACACCGAAAAATGTTCCAGTGGATACGAAATGAGCCAACTCGAGCGCTCTTAACATGTTCACAACACCTTCTTCTCAATACACACCACAGTACATGTTCACACGCTGGTGATGTGTGTTAGCAGAGTATTCCGTGACTGAGCTTACGTGCCATCGATACTGTTAGACGCACGAACCTATGCGCGCTCAACGTGTCTCGCAGGATAGTCACCTTTCAATGTCCGGTCTACATGCTGAGCAAACAGTGCGAGTACTGCTTGAACGGGATGGTAATGTGTACATTGTACAGAGATAGGCCTAGAGAGAACAGTGTCGTGCGATCCTATCACTGAACCGCGTTTTATGTTCCTGCACATTAAATTAACGCGCTTCAATTGCACGAGCTCATGCTCGGTGAACTCTCTGTCTTCTAAAAGTATACAGTCGTACCACGGTTGTGCTGTCTGCATATCTGCCATTGTAATTTACTGGCCTGCACACCTTGGATGTCCAGACGCATCACTGTGAATATTACACATTTAGGTATTACAGCCTACCGCATCTTTACGATTCCCGCGGGGGTAATACGCTAGTTCTACTATAATTATCTCGGATAATGCTGTATCCATGTGTTGTTGCGTTATTGATAATTGTTTAGACTCCGAGTACGTGTCTTTGTTCGATAACAGCGCTGTTAACAAGGCGATTTGCATATGGACACTCTGCGCTTATTATGATGCGCTACATTGGAGACTACTCAGTCGCTGAAGTGTTTATTGTATCACATATCAAGTTCATTGGTGCATATAATTATATTTTGGATATTATGTACAAGAGTGTGTCTGTAAGGAAAGTTAGTTTTTGGCTACAGCTGTCCTTATGTCTGGGTTAGCACATGCTCTTCTTCTCTCTGTGGAATATAGGGAGGAGGGGTCTTTTGCTAGGGGCTATGGTCTTAGACACATAGCACACATCACCATCCCGGATTGAGGAGCTTGCGATCTTACTCTATGCGATTCGGGAACGCTGTATTTTAGTTTAAGGTGCTTTACAATGACAGATTCTGATTCTGGGGCTTATTCCTTATCGATTGTAGATTCGGAATCCTTGCACATGAGCGGAGGACCCTCACCAGAAAGACGTATTTCGAATACTGATTACGGTAAGGGAGGATGTTAAACTATGGTAGCTCTCTGACAAAGTTTTATACAGTCTACTACATTTCGATCAGTGCAACTTTCTTTGCATAATGTCAGTTCGTATTACGTTTAACATGTCTTTGTGTATATCAGTCCTCTGTCCTAGATGCTACACGTATGATTCTCCTGTGATTACCTACCGTATCGGATGGTTCGCAATTTCTTTCGTTGGATTGCTGTCACTTGCAGGGTAAGCCCGATGCATTGTATTCGCAGATAAACAGTAATACCTTATGTAGACACTTACGCTTATGTATTTGTCTCCCTAGGTGTATTCTAGGGTGCTGCTTGTGTCCCCTCGTACTGAAGAGCTGCAAGGATGAAGTTCACTGCTGTTCTAACTGTAATATGCGCCTTGTTGTAACCTAACAGTAAATGTCAACCGTATGTTTTACTTGGTGCATGTGGTGTAACCTGCCTGATTCACAATAAAGAAAGTCATGTATACATGATCATGTGAGCACACGTTTTTATTGACACACGATGTTACAGCGCTTTCGTTTACTGAAACAATGATAACACAAGTTATGAAACAAACACAAGGGTTACAATCACATACACATGCTCTCTGTATCGTTGCTATTATCCGGGTAGGACATCTATACACATATCGACCTCTGTCAGTGTAACAAGAGGGCGATGAAACACTGTCCCTCTCTGATATAACGTAGATACACATGTGATTGATCACCAAAGGAATAGCGGCTCGATCCGCTAAACACATCCTTTGATAGTAGCAAAGCAATTCCGTTTAAAGCGTAATACAGACATTTCTATGTAACCTGGATGCAGGTTAGGAACCAATCTTGCTTATCAGGAGAGGATTGTGTGATCAGACACACTGATTAAAAAACTTTCGAGCGATTAAAAAACTTCTTGGCAGCCAGGTGATGAAGCGGGACCAGCGTAGCTGCTTCAAGTAAATGAACCCCGATGGGAGTGGTGTGATACGTTTATAGTTTGTACATCACAGTAAAGACCAATTAAACATAACACGCGTCCGTGTATCCCTTATATATGAAGTGTACTGTGGTACATATTGATTAAACATGTAAGAGAGCTTTAGAAGATCCACGTTCCTGTGCAGATGTAGAGGCACGTACTGTTTATGTGATTCCTTCACACGAACCCGGTCAAGCCGAGCGCGTGAGAGTTGAAATTGTTCACTCTGTTCATATACTCCCGAGCCTGACCGAGCTCATGCGCGTCTCTCGCATCTCTCTGTGCGTCAAGGCCAGACTTTTCGTTTTTCCCCTTGAGAATGAACGAAGTCATCACCATAGATATCACGTACATTATGTAGATTATGATGTTGAACACAGCAATCGCACATTCTACATTGTGCATCCTCCGAGCATCGCTCATCATGGGTCTGTATAGCAACTCCATACAGCCCGCGATCACGGCCATGAACAGCTCCAAGTTCATCATGATCAAGCGCGAGCACCGTTTTCGTACTGGTAGGACCGGTACCTCCGTAGGAAGACACTTCCGAATCGTCCAGCTTACGTTTGCTCTTAGCCGCGAAGTAACTAAGTACTATGCTCACGACCATCGCCAAACAACCCAGTGTAATGAGAGCTATACCCGCGTGTATGTACACATAATCGTATTCATCGTCATCGGATCGAGTCCTCGTCTCATACTGGTCATCGATGAAATACAAAATGTTGTTCGGAATGTCAGGAATCCCACGATGAGAGAAGTGATCACAGCGATCGCGGCTCCCAGTTTACCTCTGAACCGCGCGGTGCTGAGGAAGGCCCGAGGAGAGAATCTAGTCGCGAACAGGTCTTTACCCGAGGAGACCAGGTTATCGAATCCGCTCAGTCCGGTCTTCTTACGGTTCATGGCGAGCTCTGATAGGTTCTGTTTATTATGTATTTACTCACGGTCTAGTCTAGACTGAATGCGTGTTCCACTTGCGCGCAAACGCTTAGATGGGAATGTTAGAACGTTTAATACAATGAAGCTTGAGGAACCCGCGATAGAATTTCGCCATGCTCCCGGAGTGTTATTCGCGAAATCTACCCTCGAAGAGCGTTGGTATCGAGTTCGCGGCATCACGAAAACGTTGGACACCGTGATATGCTGCAGAAAGCGGGTATCGGGGCATAACATGATAACGATGGACTTGTACACCAAGGTCATACGGGACTTAAACGAGAATCCGGACAGCGCATTGGAATGGATACCGGATTACATTGACAGCTTGAACGCACCCGAAAGCAAAGGTCCTGTGATTAGGGATACTATACTGCGATTGCACAAGTACAAAGCGCTCACCCCTGAAGCTTGCAGACGCGCGTGGGACGATAACAATATGTCTGCGAGTTTGGGAACTCTGGTAGACGCACAGTGTAAGAGCGTGTACAACGGGAAGAGAGCTTTGAGCGAAGCGGGTCCCGTAGCTCGCTTGGTTCTCACGCAGCTAAAGGCTTTGCGCCTAACGCCCATTTGCGCGGGCCTTAAAGTCGCTGGAATCCCGAGACCGGACACGTTTGGGAAACCCGGGCGTTACACGTATCACAACCAGTGCACGCGAGGCTGCACGAGCATAGGTGCGAATTGGGGATTTTACACCGAGGTCGATCTAGTTGCGCATGATACTGTACAAAACACCGTGGCATTGTTAGAATTGAAAACCAAGAATACCGATATTATAGACCAAGCCACGTTGTGGCGGTACAACACGCAGCTCTGGCTCACGTGGGTAATGTTCTCGCTCACGTACCCGAGTATGGCAGAGCGATCCGCTGCGTATCTAGTTATAGTAAGACCGGGTACCAATAAAGTGACAATGAGACAGTGTTTGAAACCCACCCTGTCTAAAACGCTACGAAAGAAGTTCCCTTGGCTGAATTGCTTCTGTTCTCAAGTATTAGAGTGTCTGGCACCTACGTGCGTGAATATGCGAATCGAGACGAGTCTCGCTCGAGCGAGTTCCCGTTCGGATGGTACAGTGAGCAATGTCCAAGGTGACCAGTCCGACTTATGCTATAGAAACATCATGTTCAATCAAGAGAAGGCGAAACGCGGAGCTCGTGTCACACGAACTTGCGTGAAAGAGGATAAGTGAGGTCACGGAGGAAGGGGGCGTGTGTGTATAGACTTCGATTAAACGAACACGGGGACCCTTGCATATAAGTACATTTCTTCTCACTAAATCCTCAAGCTTGTTCTTCTGTACACTCTAGGTTTTGATACACTGTTCTGTTACTTTACCCGGATGAGCTGACATGGGATTGAAACACAAAGCCATCCACGCGATGCTCGCGAATCCGCATCTGGCTCCGTTTGAGATGGTAGATAGACCTACCCGTAGACAAGACTGGATTGTCATCGATCATCTTATGACAATCTACAGAGTCAAAGAAAGCGACCTTGTGGAAAACGAACCGAGAGTTTCCATATTGAACATGGCGCGGACTCTAGCGAGTTGCTACGTTTCGGAAAGTAAGTTCGCACACGGGATCGTGCTAGTGAAAGACGGAGCTAAAGCCCACAAGCCATCCGTTAGAGATACGCGCCTTAAACATGTCCACGCGCCTCACATAGATTTTTGCAAACGAAATCTATGTGCTATAGAATACGCGATGATGTACATCCTGGCTGATATGGGTATGAAAGACAATTTCTTTCTCGTAGTCGGATCTAAGATACAGATCGAAAACGAGAACGAACCTTGTCACGGAGCCGATAATTTGATTACCTTCCATCGCACATATCTAGAGGACCAAGAAAAGGAACAGGAATGCCTGCGGATCGAAACTACGGAGAGTGACATAGAGTCAGTGAACGTAAACGAACTCTCGGATGTAGACCCCGAGTATGCTAACGGGTCAATAGACAGACCCGCTGGAACGAACGGGGTGTTCCTGGCTACATTTGCGGACCCGGCAGATTCGCGCGTTACCTTATTACGGAACGCGTGTACAATGTGTCGCAGCACCGAAGCCGACCTGCTCACGGTGGAATTAGCCAACATCTTGAAAGGCGAGGTGACCGTGTCCACAGGAGATTCGGATGTAGTTGCGGTTCTTACAGCTTGCGGGAGACGAGGTCTGACATTACGAATGGATAACAAAAGTTACCCAATAGACCGTGACATGCACATGTCGAGCTTCGGAGAACTAGTGTTTAGCTGTCCGAACAGCTCGATATGTCCTCACCCCATGTTCGTTTCGAGCGAAGGCCGATTCAGGGTGTTATCCGACATTACTGGGGACGATGAATACATGTTCTCCGCTCATCGAACACGGCATTTAGATTTCGAGAACTTTATCAACGCGCACTCCTTTGACACCGAAGATGTTTGTCGTGGCATGTACGCGCACGGTATACGGGGTTCCGTAAATAGCGTGTTGTTACATTGGTTCTCTGAGGGTAGCACAGAAGACCGGTTATCCACGCTCAAGATCATCACGAGTAAGGGAAGTGTGTCATCGAAAAGAGTTGTTCAGATTCTAGAAATGTTGTACCCGAACAACGAAGATACCGAGGCTCAGCCACACGAAGCTGTCAACAAACGGAATAAGCGAAAGGTCGTGTGTCTCGATGACACTTTGAGCCTGGACAAAGATGCGAACCCTGGATTTGTTAAAGATAAGAAACGGCTCATTCATGGACTCAAGGGTTTGAGTGTATCTTATATGAACGGGACCGTTCCTCTCGGTAGTTACGGACGGTTCGCTAGGTTAAGCCGTTCGGGACGCTACGTATATCTACGCATGAAGGAACAGGTACTGGACTCCGAGCGTTTGAAGATGGAAATGTTACTGTTCATGATACTTTGCGGGACTGACTATAATTTCGTACCTTACGGTCTCGGGATTAAGAGACTGCTGATTGGAGCAGTTACAAACTACGAGTCGTACTCTTCTTGGTGTTCTACCGTGTCAAGTGCGCTTCGCGACGGTACTGAGGAAGACTGTTTGGAACTAGGGACTCGATTAGCGACTTTCACGAAGGTCCCGGAGGCTATCACGTTACAGCACTGGACCAGGGATCGATGTAACGTGATGTTTCTTACGATGAAATACGTGTTAGATCTATGGACTCTTAAGACTCCGAAGCCCGGACCTGGGTACGGATTTTCTGTGCAAGACGGAGCAGTACGTTTCGCGTTTCAACAGAATTAATTCTCTTCGAAGACTCATTCGCTTCAGGTCCCTGGATAAGTTTGTGTATTATCACAAATGGCAAAACGTTCACGGGTACTATACACGCTCGCACATTACATCGGAACGAACGTATGTTCGCTTTATTTTGTTTTGGTTGTTTTTGTATTTCGAGGATCCTCGCATCATGAAAGAATACCACAATCCCGGATCCGAGACAAGCAGTGAAATGACACCGTTGACCACGAACCCGAAGGGTGTTCACGATGCATTATCAAAGCTGTATCAAGAGTGGATTGAGCGCGCACCCTATAATGATATTTCTACGTACA